CTGACGGAACCTGCTTAACCCCTCGCTGCAGCCAGTAGGTGGGGTGCTGTGTGACGGAATCTGCTTTCTTGGACCGTCCAGACCCACAAGTGACGAACTCGTACGCGAGGACAAACTCCATCGCGGGGCCCGCGTCAGGGGCGGAGTCAGGGCGTCTGTTGCCCTCGTGGTCGAAGAAGTGCAAAATGCTTGCCAACGTGACATGACCGTCACCGCTCAGGTCGTCCCTCTTGGCCTTGGGGTTCGTAAAGATTTCTACAGCGTCTCCTTGCCCGCTGCCCACCGCCCAGTCGCGCGGGGTTGCCCCGCCCGCGGTTGCGGCCTTCACGTCGCCCCCCTTGAACCGCCCCAGCCCGCTGCTGATCTTAGCAGGCACGCCGTGCTTGATCCGATAGCAGATGATGTCGTCATTTTTCAGACTCTTCCCTCCCCCCTCCCAGCAGGACGAGCACCTCAGCTCTTTACAGACGTCACGGCCGTCACCGTCGGAGCGGCCGCAGGCATACCACAGGGTATTGGCGTTCAGGATGGCCCCCGCGCTGGGACGTACGGCACCTTCGCTCAAACACGCTTCCCACGCCTCCCTCGGCCCCCCACCGCCTGTTGATCCGGTTCCGACGTCGTTGGGCGCGGCCCCACCGCGTACTGATCCGGGTCTGACGTCGTCGGGCGCGGCATCTTAACGCAGGATTGTCGCACGCGAAGTGGCTGAGCCGTGGGGCTGCCCCGCCAACATTGCTGCCGTCGGTTTCGTGCCCTCGGTGCCATCGACAACGTTCGTTATCCCTCCCGAGCGGCTGTCGTCGAGGGCCTGTAGGACGCGCTGGCAACCAGGCCCAGAGGTCAGCGTCTCGGTAATCTTAGTCTTTTTGGAGTAGGAGTACCGGGTTGCTGTGTAGGTCTCGGTTGTAGCCAACTTCATGAGCGGCAGCTTGGTGTTCGTACTCCTCGCGTGGTGTGCCGGCGGGTCNTGCCCCGCCAACATTGCTGCCGTCGGTTTCGTGCCCTCGGTGCCATCGACAACGTTCGTTATCCCTCCCGAGAGGCTGTCGTCGAGGGCCTGTAGGACGCGCTGGCAACCGGGCCCAGAGGTCACCGTCTCGGTAATCTTAGTCTTTTTGGAGTAGGAGTACCGGGTTGCTGTGTAGGTCTCGGTTGTAGCCAACTTCATGAGCGGCAGCTTGGTGTTCGTACTCCTCGCGTGGTGTGCCGGCGGGTCTCGTGAGCTACCTGACTTGTTGTGTTTCTTGTGGTGTTGGTGTCCTCCCTCGTGCGTCTGCATTCTGAGGGCGCCCTGATGGGGAAGGGCAGACGAGGGAGGGGTGGCAGCGTTCTTAGGGCAACAGAGACAACTTGGCGTACCTTTTTGTGCCTTATTCTGGCAGCGAGCGACCAGAATAAACATAAGAGCAACGGTCTGTGGAACGCATGAGATAGAAGTGCATGTACGGTCGACGAATGCTGCTGGCATGATGAAATGGTTCGAAAACCAGTGTTGTGTAGATGAGCTGAATTTATCTGAGTACCATAAGCTACGACTCCTTTTCGTGCCCCCGACAGTCAGTCGAGGTTATCGTGAAAACGTATTCAGCAAGGAGAGCAGCACACATGTTGCTATGAGCTCACATGGATATTGTTCACCCTGCAAAGCAAGACGTCGACGCTACACCACCACAACATCGCGATCATATAGCACCAACCCAACAGCAGCGGTTAGGGAACGAGGGCTAGGAACAAACAAGAGCGACCCCGGCGCGTTCTTCTAACGAGAGAGATATGGTTGCTCTGAGAGCGTTCAGGGACACAACAAAAGTTGCGGGCTAGCACCCACGTCGATGTCGACCAAAAAATGAGGTGGCGTTGATGCAGACACGAGACCAAGACGAAGCGTTTGCCAAAAGACGTCGCCCACAATCTAGGTACCCTTTGATCCCCCACGTGCTCGATTCGAGCCTCTCACGCAGTGCTGCCATAGTAATATGTACTAGTCACACAATTACTTAGGACAGGCTGAAACACTGCTGGCTTTCAATAGTAACATCCCAATATATATCGTTGAATCTCCTTACCGTGTGCTTTGATGCTGTCGGCGAAGTGAAGCCACATGTGGTTGCTCGTCCTTACGCCCGCCCGCCCCAAGGTAAGCTTCGCATTTTCGACCGTTCGTCATCGAGGGAACAAAAGCGAAACGCGGAGCGAACACTCAGCAAGCTTGTGAGACCGAACGATAACGGAAGGGTGAACAAATCGTTGGGTGCGGTTGGGGGAAAAAACGTTTGGTTGGTTTCAAGCACGCAGAGTGCAAGGTAGCAGCCTGGTACACACAACCCTAAACCAACAACGATGTAAGGTTTTCAGAAAAACACACGAAGGTTGTTGTCATCGCCACGCTCACATAGTCTCCCGCCCGTGTGTGCAGTTCGTCCAGGTCCAAATCGGTGAACTCTTGGCCGTTGGCGGCGAACGAGAGCGAGGAGGACGGTTGGAAGTACTCCAGTACACGATCCCGCACTTCCTCGGGGCTCACGTCGCCCCGTATCTCTTCGTTGTACTTCTTCAGCGCCGTTGAGTTCAGATAGTTTTTCTGGTTGTTGAAGCGTTCATCAATACGGACGAAAACAAGCGTTGATGGGGCAAGGGTGGGGGAGGTGGGAGTGGAAGCGGCCGGGAGTTGAGACTTCGACAGGGTACGGTATATCATTTCTGTGAAAAAAGCACCTGCAGTAGGCTCGTGCCTTGCTACCATTGGCGGCTCGGTTATAGCACACAGCAGAAGTGTTGAGTTGGATTAGGTGATCAGTGTGATTTACATAAGAGGTGGGGGTGGTGGTAGTCTTCGTCATCAGCGAGAAGGGGGGGGCGGTATTCATAATAATCAGCGAGAGANTCGTTGCCAAGCGACGAAAACCCAACCCCGATGGCAAACACCGAGGGGGAAGCGAGAGAGGGGGGGGGGGGTACTCATAGTCGTGCATGCCGTTGTCGTAAGACCACTGACCTCTCATCCCTGCAAAGCCGGGACAGAGCACGCCGGGGTATCACCGGACCAGGCTCTCATATCACCAAGCGCGAAGCGCCGTGAGCTATTCGGCGAGTCGCATGAAGGGTGAGGTGCATCCTGCTAAGGGCGTTCGGCACCTTGTGCTCACTTCCTTGCGTACGGATGACAGCTGCGTATGACTTGAGTACTTGTCTGGTGCTTTCACTTCCAGAGACAGTTAAAGGCACTGTGTAACTGCGTCGAGGGTGCTTGACCATTTGACAGAACGTGGTGCGGTCTTCCCCCTTGCACGGAGTGAGGCTTCTCCACCCCGCACAACATGATCCACTCGACCACCGTTATGGTCACCGCCAAAGCAGAACAGAGGAACAAAACAACAACGGTGACCTGGTTGCCGAGCTCACGAAGTGAATTGGCTTGTGATACGACGTCGTTGCCAAGGGACGAAAACCCAACCCCGATGGCAAACGCCGGGGGGCGGGGGGCGTGTACTCATGGTCGTGCATGCCGTGGTCGTTAGACATTTGACCTCGCATCCCTACAAAGCCGGGACGGAGCACGCCGGGGTCTCACCGGACCAGGCTCTCACATCACCAAGCGCAAAGCGCCGTGAGGTGTTCGGCGAGTCGCATGAAGGGTGCGCTGCATCCTGCTAAGGGTGTTCGGCATCTTGTGCTTACTTCCTTGCGTACGGATGACAGCTGCGTATGAATTAATATATTTTCTAGTGCGTACACTTCCAGAGACAGTTGTAAGCACTGTGTAACTGTCTCGAAGATGCTCGACCATTTTAACACAACGTGTGCGATGAACCCCCTTGCGTGGAGTGAGGTTTCTCCACCCCGCACAACATGATCTACTCGACCACTATTATGGTTACCGCCAAAAAAAAACATAGGTAACAAAAAAAGGTAACCTGGTTGCCGAGTACACGAATTGAATTGGCTTCTTTTACAACGTCGTTGCCAAGCGACGAAAACCCAACCCCGATGGAAAACACCGGGGGGGGGGGTTGTATGCATCATCAGATAAAGAGGGGTGGTGGTATTCATCATCATCGGCGAGAGAGGGGGGGGGCGGTAGTCATCAAAAGCCAAAGAGGAGAGGGTGGTATTCATCATAATCAGCGAGCGAGCGGGGGCTGGTATGCATCATTATCAGATAAAGAGGGGGGGTGTTATTCATCATCATCAGCGAGAGAGGGGGGGGCGGTATTCATCATAATCAGCGAGAGAGGGGGGGGCTGGTATGCATCATCATCAGAAAAGTAGGGGGGGTGGTATTCATCATCATCAGCGAGAGAGTTCGTGAAATGGGCTCGAATTTCTTGTGTATCGCGCACGGACAGACAGACACAGACAAACTTGACCCCACAATAGCGACTGTTTCATCGTTTTGATGCGTATACATGCACATCACAATCCCTTGATAAAGCAAAAAATCCCGCATGGAATTAGAATGCAGACTTCGGCAGGTCTGTATTCATCGATGCGATCTCGTTTGGCTCACTGCCGAACACTCTCACCATCGTCGCCGTGGATAAGAGCAACCCGCGCAGGACGATGAGCTGTACGCTCCCAAAAAGCGCCTTCTGCGCCCCAGTATAACCGGGGTAGTCCTTAACGGGGTTCTTGAGTGGTGAGACTCCTGCACCAAGCAAGGTGCGCCCCTGCCGGAAGATTCCGGCAACGTGTTCTCGGCCAGCTGGTGACAGCAGATCCAGGAGAAA